ATCTTCCCACAGGCAAATTCGTTCTCTTCACTCTCGTTTCCTGCCACTAGGTGCTGCTGCCACAAAGCCAGAGCCACCTGCCTCTCACTGCCCACGCACACGACGCTGCTTCTCCCGAGACACGCTGCTTCTCCCGAGACACGTCCACACAGGACAGGCAAAGCAGCAGGCAGATGACGCTCAGCAACCGCGTGAGCTGTCTTTGCTACAAAGATTTTCATGAGTTAAAAAGCACATTTGATGCATAGCCTGTGGAGAATGACAACTTGGCTTCACATGTACCTCCCCCTTAGGAACAGGAGAAAATCCTATTTGATGACACTTCTAGGGTCTAAACCCCAAGCAGAGTCAGGTTCAGTTCAGTATTATTGGGTCCCTCTTTGTGCCAGGTGCTGCCCAGGTGTTTTCATCAGCAGCCTATAGAAAAGAAAAAAAAATTCCTGCACTATGTTTTCTACCTTTTCCAGAGGTGAGGTGAGTGGGTAAATTCAAGGGGCTGGTTAGCAAGCCTTATTAGCAAAACCTCAGTTTTCCACAGAATATTCTCCAGCCTATCTGGTCGTGTCTATGCATACATTTAAATCTGATTAACTCAGTATCACAACTAATGTTTTCCACAGAGCAAGAAAATTCTAAAATCAATACTCCAGGATCTGTATCTCCTTTTCCTTTGTGTAGTAAAATCTTTTGGCCTTAATTCTCTCCTCAAGGAGATTTTGTTCTACTGAACTTTTAACACCAATGTTTCTTTAACGGTTCCACGAAATACTCATGGCTTTCCTCCCCAAATCAGATTTCTGGCAGGGGAATTAGGGAAATGACAGCAGAGTGAAACTTCCAAAAATGGTACTTCCACAACTAGGAGGCTTTTGTGTAGGGCTTGTTTTCTCGTCTACTTTTCAAACTCAGAATGTCAGGTACCAGGAACAATTTCGTGTTTATGTGCCTCAGCCCATAAATATTAAACAACATAACATACAAGACTCAAGGAGTTTAACATCAGGAGTCTCCGTCTCTTCCCCTGGGACATATAAGCAACTGCTACAAGCGATATAATAAATCACATGAGAAGAAAAATGGTGGAGCAAGTTCTTTGTTCTTATAGCGTGTTCACTTCAAAGCCCGGAGATGCAGGCTTCCTCCCTGACAGGTGACAAGGTGGGATGACTCAGTGCTTTGGGGTTACAGTGGGAAACCAAGGGCCCCTAACCCCATCTGGGAAGGATGAAGAACAGGGATTACGTGATAAGGACACGAATCACTGCGCCAGGGACATTTCCAGAACTACGCTTACCCTTTATTAAGGCAACGGCTCTAAGGAAGGAGCACTGTGATTTTTAAATTTTTTTAAAACTTTCAGAATAAGATGTGCTATGTGGTCTATACCTGTTGTTCAAGCATGTCTCACGGGACATGTTTATGCACCCTCACGGACGCTATGAAGGGCTAGTCCATGCACAGCAGATTTTAAAGCACTTTCCAAAAAATATTCCTGTCCTTGAATTTTCTTCTACATGGAATAGGTGAGTTGCCAACAGGTCACTGGTCATCTTTAATTATAAACATGTTTTTGTTATCATGGTAGTCAGCGAAATAAGGTTCAACTTATATTTCAGTTTACACTTAACTCCTCTCACACATCTCCAATATGCAGTAGTATTGGAGAGGTGGTGAGGAATGAGACAGGCCGTGTCAACACCAGTTTGCTCATCTTATAACTGCTCTCAGCCCATCTCGGAACCACCACCCCTCTGAGACCACATGTAACATGACTTCTCCCTCCAGCAAACAGAAAGGGAAAAGATAGAAAAGAAAGAAACTAATATTGACGGAGCATCTGCCAAGCATTAGACACTTTTACTCCCCATTGCAACCTATTGAAGTAACAGATATAAGTCCCACTTTGCAGATGAGAAAAACATCTTCAGCAGGGTAGGTCCTCAGCTCAGGCCTCAGCATTATTATGTTACAGCTCTAACTCCAAAGTGCGTCTTTCCCCATCACACAGCACTGCCTTGGAAGAGCAGCTGTCCTTAGACACGTGGAGTGACAGCACAGAGGGACAAGACAGAGGGACAGAGGGGGCGGGGGACTGTGTAGCCTTTCTCCCACCACATTCTACTAGATTCATTAGGGCTGACAAAGTCCTCATTTAAAGGGGTTAAGGCCCAAATGGGATGAGCACTGGACTGGGAGTCAGAAGATGTGTAACTTGGTTGCAGTTCTGCCACCTATGGGTGGTGTAAACTTAGGTAAGTCATGTAAACGCCGTGGGCAAGTATCTCCTCTAGACTTAGACACTTTCAGCTCTACCACTCAATAATCTATGAAGGTACCATGTCCCAATTCAAGTATTATCAAAATTATCAAACCACCTACATCATCAGAAGCGTAAAATACCTTCTAGAACCTTTAAGAGGAGGACAAATAAGAATGACAGCTAGTAAGGCAGACCACGGGTAGAGTTATTGGGGTCAAACCCCTAGCTGTCGTGCCCTGTATGGCTGAGGCTTTGGGCTCAGTTCTCTGCCAGATTTCTCAGCATCACCCTGTAATGGGCCACAAGTGAGAACCTTAAAATGTGTGCTTTACAGGGTTTTCAAGACATATGCTAAAGGAAAACGATGTGACAGAAAATGTCCCAGGCTGGTCACCAGGAGGCAGAGGTTCTAGGGTCAACTCTGCAGCTACCAACTGAATACCCCCAAGCCATGGCATTTGCATCACTCTGAGCTCGGTCCTCATTACTTTCTTTTGGAAGCTGGATTCGGAACTCTGAAGTCTTTCTCACATCAATAAAAGTGCCTCATGCTGCCAAGGTAAATGACCCCAATCCCAACCATGGCAGGCGTCTATTCACAGAGAACAAGGTACAAAATCAGGTTATCACCCTCACCCAGGAGTCTTTGGGAATTACTCAAAATGAACCCATGAATTCTAAAACAAGAAAAAAAATCCACCATATTTAAATAATACATTTCTTTGGAGACATCAAGAAATTGCCCACACTAGTAACTTATTATTGATCTCCTTTTTCTTACTTTGTTTGAGGTTTTGTGTAAAATACCTGGACAGAAATGGAAAGGTAACAGTACCTCAAGTGTCTAAAGGGCAATTAACCCAAATCTCATCAGTGTGAACAGCTTATTCAATATGTCCCCAGAAGGGTAGGGTGACCCCGATTAACGCTGTGGTTATCATACAAACTCCCCGAGTCAGAAACACAAAGCACATCGAGCTTCCTTCAGGCAGCCAGTCACATTTCTCTTGTAAAGGTGATACCAGGCTCTGAGCTTTACTCAAAAGAGATAGGCCAGTAAGATTAATGGCAGTGTTAACATAACAAAGGTGTTTCATCCTATCCGGAGGTGTCCCCAAGCACTCTGAGCTTAACCACAGTAGAAAAGATGAAATGAGACTAAAAACATCAGCAACCTTGGTGAAATCAACTAAAAGGATTCAGAATATTCCAAGGGCGGCATGCCAGGATCTGGGGAAAAAAAATCAATTTAATTTCCTGTACCTCTGAGATTCCTATCTCAACCTCCACTGGGGATGAAGGATAGATACATAATGTTCTCCAGCATCTCTTCTCCTCTATGACAACTTGTGCATTGAGTCCCAAGAGTTTGCCATAAAACTGGATATCCCTAATCAGCATGCTTAAACTACATCATTCAAGAGTATGCTGAAACGGCTTTACCAACAAGGTAGAAGCTGTCGGACCGCATAGTCATCGGCTCCGCATCCCAGGACCTTAGGGCTTCATGATTCAAGCACACACTTGAGTTTTGGGAGCCACTACCCTTGTCCCTATAGCTGGGACTATTGTTGTAGTTTCACAGAGGTGAGGAACAGGCCCAGAGAACAAACGAAGAGAGAATTAAACAAAGATCACGCACACTCACACCCCTGGCCCTCACTCTCATGCAGCGATCAGCCCCAGTCCAATTTCTAGAATTGAAGACTATCTGTCTCTTCAGGATAACTAACACTCCACTCTACCAAGCATACTTCCATGAAAGTTTCCATTCCACATGAGTCACGTTCCCTGGTTCTGCCCAATCAAGAGCTAGAAGTAAGACCACGGGGAAGACAGACATAAACATCAGCAATATGGGGCTTGAAGCTGCTTCTGGTCAACAGGTCTGGGAGCTGCCAACTTTAGTCTTTGTACCAGAGTGAAGACTCTATAATCTCTGGCTACAGACCTTGTCATCCAGCTGTCTGTAGAGGCTGGAGATGTCCTCCTCGTACTTCTCTTTCTCTTCGACAGAGATGCCGGAGACGGCAGGAACAATGTTGTCGATGATGGGGGTGTTATCACAGGGCTCCAGTGTCTTCTGGTCCTTCGCGCTGATCTGTTCATCCTCAGGCACGGCTTCTCCTGCAAAACACAGCCGAGAAGGGCTCAGCGTGCAACCCTCCATCCAGGAAGAGCTGCAGAAACAGTCACTCCCACAAAAAAGCCACAAAGGACACAATAAAGAGCTGTTGCTGAGTTCTAGTTTGTGTTCTTTCTATTTGACAAGAAAGGTCTTAGTTAATTGACCAAAACTTGTTCTGTCAACCACACAAGTGCATAACTAATCCAACTTGCAGCGAGACCCCAAATTTTTTTCATACACTTTCCTTTTGAGGAATATGCTCTCTAGTGACCGACTCCAAGGAAAACAGATCTCTGAGGCATCCTAACTACCAATTAATTAGGTTACCGTTTCATTAATAGAAACAGTCACTTCAAGGAACAAATTCACCATTGTTTAATAGAACACTGTAGGGTCCAAATCCTGTCAGCTGGAAGCAGAAGCCAGGGTAGCCATGGACCCAGGAATTCCGACACTGCACTAACACACATTCCACTACCACTCTCTCCTGCAGACACTTCAAATTAATTGGTGCTACTGGAACGTTCAAATAGAATAACTTCCTATGATGTCAGGTTGTCCCAGGAAAAGAAAAAGCAGCCAATCTAGAATATCATGCAGAGACCCTGCATAGCACTTCTCAGTCTGCAGAGTAGTGTGGGGCTTTTGAAAGAAGCATCACCAAATTTGACCATGCAGATTCAGGAAAAAGGTGAGGCCAGTGGCGCTCCCTAACAAAAAAATTCACCTTGCAAAGATAAGGCTGCATAAAAAGGATTCTATGAAAACCATGTGGACCGACTGAGTCTCTCAAATATTTTCTTGGAAAGCAAACCAATACTAAAGATACTTTTCCATCACAATGTTTACCATCAACTTCACACTCAGTTTGCTACAATCAGTGAGTGTCTACAATGTTCCAAGCCTTATACCACTTCTCAGCCCATAAAATGCATTTAGCAGCAATTCCTCAGGAAAACTGCTCTGAGCCAGAGGGAAGTTCTCAAAAACAAAACAAAACACGACAGAACTGAGATCCTAATCAGTGGCTTCATTAACAGTATATATCATGCTTCAAGGAACTAGCTGAACACTGTATACATTTATCTTAATATAATCAAAACACTGTGATGGGTTAGCTTTGCTGCTTAAGATTCCATTATCAAACCTGATAATCGCAAAAGGGTACGGAAGCCCAAGCCCTGCATGCACATCAAATAAAAGTAACACCCAATGATCTCACTTTTGCAACACAGTTCCGTTTCAAGCAGAAACTTTGCTGAATATAAAAGAGAGCCAACGTTTTTTCTTCTAAAGCTCAACTAGACTGCACTGTACCCAAACGTTTTCTAAAATTATTGACCTGAAACAAAACCAGAATATCACAGTAGCCTTTGAACTGAAACTACACCAAATCAATATTTCATTCATTTCATTCAGTTCCAATCCCTCATTTAAAACATCCATCAACAACCTTAGTGCACAGACTGGATTTCATCCAATTAAAGGATCTATATTCTGTACAGTCTGCTAAATCCCCTGGCCATAAAAGCAGTACCACGTTCTGGTTCCTAAGGGGTAGATAGATAGATAGATAGATAGCCAAAAATGTTTACACATTTTAGAAAGGAAAACTGTATTAACATTGTAATACTCAATACAATCAGATAACAAGAGATGACTACAAGTCACGTTTGACTTCTGCAATTACAAGAGGTGCTCAAAGTGGTTACCATCAGCGTCCTGACACTTCTGATTATGGCGAACTACTGCGTGAGCAACATTGACCAAAGTGTCCACCTGTATACATTTTTTGGCACCCCTGGTATGTGTGCATGTGTGTATGTGTGTGTGTTATATGTGTATGTATAATGTATATATCTTTTTCTAACCATAGAGTATACACTAAACCTTGAAACTCCTCTTTCATCCCTACCTCTCAATCCTGTTCCTTCTCCAGACAAATTCACCAGTAATACTTTGGCAAATGTCCTCTCCCTAATTGGATCATGACGTATTTCTAATTTTTCAGTTCTAGCTCCTGAAAGTTGTGAACAGGGCAATCCAGCCCGGTATGAATTTGGTCTGTCAGCTTCAGCACAATGAAGGTGAACTTCACTGTACCAGATCAGCTGCCAGAATGGGGTCGTATTTATCATCCACAGGTCAACTCACCCCAAGTCCACAGGGAAGATACAGAAACATCGGGAACAGACATATCTCGGTGTTCTTTGGTTCCAAATGGCTAGAAAGGTGTGATATCATGAGGCTGGTGTGAGCTAAGGAGCTGCCCAGTGCGTGTTTCAATCCAGCAGGCAGAAGCCAGGAATGAAACCCCATAGCCCAGAGGCAAGTGGCTTGCTCTAACCAAAGTCACAGGCCTGACTCCCTGTAAAGCAGCCCTCTTCTTCCACTGAGGGATTACAGCATCACCAAGTACCAGGGTTGTCCCAGGCTAGGGAGGTTCACCGAGCTCGCCAATGCTGCTACGAGGTACCCTGACTGTGATAAACAGAGTCTGTGTAAACATCTCCAGTGCTGTGGCGGGACGCTAAGCCACACTGCTCCTTTTACAGATCTATTGTAATTCATCGTCAGCGCATGTCCTGCTTAACCTCTGGGCTTGCTTTTTATAAATGAGAGGAAATAGTAATGCCTTTCATACAGCACTGTTCTTATGATTAATTAAAATCATATATGTAAAGGGGTGGCCGGTCAGCTCAGTTGGTTAGAGCATGGTGCTCATAATACCAAGGTTGCTGGTTTGATCCCTGTGTGGGCCAAGGAGCTGCGCCCTCCATAACTAGATTGAGGACAACTACTTGACTTGGAGCTGATGGGTCCTGGAAAAACATGCTGTTCCCCCCCCAAATTTTTTTTTAAATTGTATATGTAAAAAATACAAAAGGTATTCTTGTTTAAAGTGCATCTCTTAACCCCTCCTCTACCTGAGTAATTGTCAACTTTCTTAGGCTTTGCAGATAATTTATTATTTTTACTCATTCTGTGATGAGTGTTTCTGGGGTCTTCACAATACCTTCGTCGTGAGGGCTCATTTCGAAAAATAAAACACAAGATAGCTATGCAAGCCCCTTTCAGGTTTATTTTTATTGGAAACCTACAGCAGACTTTCTGGCTTCTCTAGAAGAGTCTCTGAATCAAAGCGTCAACATGTCCCCCATGGAGCTACATCTAAACAGCGCGCTCTCCCCAGTTTATACACTAAAGGTCAGGCAGTCAGGATTGCTTTTTGCAGCAGCCGTTCAGGCCGCGAAGAACAAAGCGGCAACACGCAGGAACAAAAGCGGCAAGAATCTGTGGGAGAGCACCGCTCCTGCCCAGAGAGGAACCAAGAGCCGGTTTTCCCCAACACCGCTGCCCTTCAAAGGACCGAGAAAATGACTTCCAGAAGCGTCCCTGGTAACGACACTGTCCAGCTCACAAACACGTCTGGGGATTGTAAATTCCCAACACTATGCACGACCTGACACTAGGCAATCTGTCTCCATGGCAATCTCACCACTTTAATCGAGAATACTCCCTGCACTGCAGACCGAGTCTCCCAAGAAGCCTCCACGAGGTGATTACGGAATAACTGATTGTAACAAGGAAGACAGCTGCAAACAAACCCTGGAGAAATAAGACCTTAATATCTGGTGGTGGGAGAATAGAAAAGGGTCACCAAATGAAGATTAGCATCTATTTTTATTTTTATTCTCCTTCACATTAAAAGCAAACTTCTCTTAGTTTGTCCCCTGAGGCTTTCATACCTGCTGTCTATAGGGAAAGTGCTTATAATATTGTAAAGCATCTGACTTTCTAGAATGAAAGCACCCTTCCTCCTAACTAGAAATCGTTCCCTTCTTTAAATAAGCATTCTGGCATTTCCTATTGTCAGATGTAATTACCTTTAAGGACTAAAAAGATTTGTGTGTACACAGGAGCATTCGCTTGGAACATACCTATAAGGTTTGCAGAGTATTTTAATTACAAAATGAAAACCCCCAGAGGGCATAAATAACATTTCCACAAAAAGTAGAAATCCATCAAAGGCAATAAACAAGAATGGCAGACTAATCACAAATTCTCGTTAGGGCTATTAGTTTAAAACTCTAAAACAGGCTTTTTTGGGTTTGTTGTTTATTCCAAAGGAAAAAAAGAAAACCATTAGGCTGTCAGTAATTCATTAAAATTTCACACATGAAATAGCAATGAGCTAGTTATCCTTTTCATAAGTTGAGTCCCTCACGCCTCTGGAAGACACAGGAAGGTAATTGCAGTCTCCCTGCAACTCCAGATCAGAGATTTGCTGGTCACTCACAGCTTCCGCCAGAAACCACAGCAGATCTGGCAAAGGAGGTGCTTTCTTTTAATACCAATTAAACAGGCCCAGTGGCAGACCTAATGGGAGGTAATTTCTATATCAAAGAAACTGAAAGGAAATCTTTAAGTTGCCAGATGGATAAGAGCAGCTGGCTACAAGATGTCATTATATAAATGTGAGGTTAAAAAAAAAAATTCCTTTATGGGATTATTTTGCACGCAAATAGCATCTTTCACACTAGTTCGTAAAAATATGGTAAGCAGCTTAAGACATTTTCTAATCCCTCCTAGCCATAATTTGCTAACAAACTGGTCACAGCTCAGCACCCTCTCTTCGTTCCTGACCTCTTGAAGAGGCCACACCATTCTCCTAGCAGTGAGGATTTCTATCAGCGTTCAGCTGTGCTCTCAAAAGAAGGACGAAAGCCTCACAAACAAGATTGCTCAAATGAAATGCTAACTCCTGAGCTTCTACTGTAGTAACCATGCATCTGAGAGGGGGGCCAGCATCTTCTACATATTTAATGCTAAAAAAAAAAAGAGCAAATTGTGTTCCATCCACGGAGGCTGAACAGTTTCACCAAGCCTCGATCAGACCTGAGGTTACAGATTTAACTAGTTGGAGAACCGCGCCTGCTGGCCTGGCAGGTTTTAAATCTGGAGAACAAATCTGCTTTACACATTGCCGATTTTTCAA